TAAATTTATTTCAAAATGAATTTCGAATAATAATATGAATTGTTTTATATATAAAAAGAATATATCAATTTTCCAAAATAGTATATATTGAAGATTTTTCTAAGTACTCAACTCTTATTCACCACTTACTTACCACACAATACTCACCACTCTGTGAGTTTAAACCAAAAATAAAAACAACTTTCAAGTTTAAAACAAGAATGCATTGTTATTGAGTTCTCAAGCAAGTTTTTAAGCTTTTTTTTAACATTTGCAATAAAAACACGATTAATTGCTTAAGCTTTTGTTTGATCAAAACTTTCCGTGTGGTGAATCACAGTAAGCCAACACTTAACAATACCACAATAAAGCGTCAGTTGAGGTTATTGTTTTGTTAACAAAAGTTGATTAGAGTATAAAGTGCCAACGATTGCTCAAACGCCGCAAGTGCTGAAATCGTGAATCAAAATGCGTTTTCTCAATTTTGGAATAATTTTTATGGTATTATTTGTTGCCACTTCGATGTGCTTACCAACTCAAGGAATTACAAATGAATCCCAAGAATCTCAAAATAATGATCAAAAAAACGACCAACCGCTTTACAGTGTATTAGAAGTGCTTCCAAGTTGTTTACCCGGCTATACACGGGTCAAAAATCATTGCCGTAAGCTAGCTTGAGTGAAAAATGAATTTAATTATTTAAAATCCCCGCATCAAGAAAAATGAAATAAATTTAATTTAATAATGTGAATTGTTGCTGGCAAATGAATTCAAAATAATAATTATTAATAATATATTATAAATAAAAGTTTTTATTTAAAAATCTTAAAGCAGTTGTTTTTTATTTTAATTAGCATATCAGATATCAAATGAGTTCATCGACCCAGTAGTAAATAAGGTGGTGACGAGCTAACCGCCTACTGTAAAGCTAAATGAATTAATTAACATATTGTACATATTAGAAACCTTTAAAGTTTTATTTTAATTTTGTTTACATATAACATATTATATTTATAATGCTTCTTCCTTCGAATTAGTGTTAACGAAAATTAGTAAACTATTAAATTATCCCTCTAATTAAAGTTTTCTAATATATGTATATTAATTAATTTCAATAAGTTGTAAAGTAGCCGATTATCTAATAACAACCTTTTACATATATATACGTTTATAAATACATATCTGTACACCAATTACAGCTTCATAGCAAGTACTTAATGTGGATTTTCCATAAGAAGATTAATTTTCAAAAAATGAAATTGATCTTGCTTAAATCAATATGAAATTAACATACTTTTAAATTTTATTGAATGACTAATAATTGAAAGTAATGCCTCGATGAGTCTTAGTTGTTGACGTATTAAATATCACTAATATTAAAATGTCATGAACATTTTTTGTAAATTTCCAAAACAATGTCACAAAACAACGTGATAGATGACCAATTCATGTATATATGGCTTTTTTTGCTATTATCAAATTATTCATTTGCAAAGAATAATCATTTTTTTTCTTAAAAATATATTTATATATTTTTCTTCTTAAATATGTATTTTTACATAAATAAACGCTTAATTTAATTTAATAAATACACTTATTATATATAACGATTAAAATCTAACTCTTCTCCGACATCTTTAAGCCAACTTTCGACAACGACCAGCAGCCAAAACATAGCCTTTTGGACAATTAAAGATAGTGACGTGCACACAGAGCATTATCAGCAAAATCACCGACAATCGCAGCATACTTCTAAGCGCAACTTTTAACGACATTTTTATTTATTTCCGCGCTTAAAAATTTTCTCGTTACAATTGACTCGCACTTATAATATATGAATTGTTAATTGAATTAATTAAATTAGTCAGCAAAAACAAAGTATTTGTTTTTAAACGGGTATTTACTCTCTTCCAATCTTTACGCTTTTAATGCTTTTATACAACTAATATTATTCAACAGCCTAAGTTGGTTTTTATATTTCCTCTTAGGTTCTTAACGTAAGCAAATATGTAACTTATTTTGTTTTTTTTATTTATTTGCTTTAATTAAAATGCATTCAGTTGATTTCTCTTGAGAATTCTAATAAACAATATCACAACAACAATATACATAATAACAAAATAAACAAAATTACAAAAAAAAAACAATAAACAAGTTCTCCGTAAAAGGTTATTTCTTCCGTACAATTTTTATCAAAATGATTTGTTTATATTTTTTGTTCATGTTTTTAATAAATTCATATTATTAATGAAATATCTCTTAATCATATTGCTTTATTGGGTATTTATACATAAAATATGAGTACTCATCTACGAAACAATTTCCGAATTGTATTCCCATATAGAGAAACGTAAATAAGTACAAAACTGATAATATAATTCTTCGAATTATTTATTTGTCAGAGTATGCACTAAATTTTAACTATTCGTATTATATTTATATTACTCAATAATCCTGAGTCTTATCAAATTTGTTATCAAATTTTTTATATAATTATGTTTTATAAAATATTAAAAATAATTAATGTATTTGCAAAAACATTGTTATTTATTGAACTATTTCTATCCCAAATATTTATTTTTTTGTTTACAAATTTAATTTAATTAAATTAATCTTTTTTCAATTAAAAATTATATTATACAATTTCCTGTAAATGATACATTCTCACTCTATATTATATTAACTCATATAAATAAGGTATAAAATGATTGTATAGTATATATTTATTATTAAGAATGTGTGAAAAAATCAAACGGGAAATTATCTGAATTTATCCATTTAAGCAGTAGCGGTGTTACGGTTGGGCGTGGTGAAGTGATGAGCCAGGGCGACAGGAATGCAGACGTAACACATATGAATCATTAAGACTTTTTACTCCCATTAACAAAACAGTGAATATAATAAGCCTTAAAAGCACCTTTTTAAATAATTCTTTTGTACTTAAGCAGTAAGCTACTAAGTTATCAGATACTTAAGATCATATTGAGTAGTGCACAATAACCAGCTGAACCGCTGCGAACAGTTGCACATATTTTTCACCACTCGATCGCCAGAATGATAGACCGAGTGTCTCGATGGTAGTTGCGGATGAGATACTAGTGATACGGCTTATAGTGTTTAGAGTAACACTGCATATGTATATATGTGTATACCTGCATAAAGGCAAATACATATGTAACTTGTCTTTATAAAAAATATGTTTCCCTGAATACCATTCCATTAATATTGGAATTCATCTATAATTACTAAAACTAAATTTTATTTAACTACAAATAAAACAAAATAAATTGTTAGAAATGATTAACTGTCCGATAAGAGCGATAAGGCGATAAGAGCGAAACTCACGGATTAGATGAAGTCGACTAACAGGAGCAGTTATAGCTGCTCTTAAGCAATTGTTGCAAAGCATGTGTAGCTAAAGTGATGAATAAATGTATTATTTCATTGAAGTAATGAATGACATATCAAAATCTCTTTCGCACTAAGTGTATAACCCAATATAGAATACCTGATGCATCATCACGGCCTGCGTATGATATTAACAGGTTGGGGCTTTCCAGATAAAACAAAATGTTGTTTCTGTTTGGAGACAAATCAGATCTCTAGTCACAGACTGTATGGCACTGATTTGAGCTAGGAAGAGGCTACTAAATCGAGAGTTTCTATAGTCCTCTGAACTTAGAATATTCTCAACAGCAAACATTTCGACTTTCCTTTGATTTGCCTTCTAGTCAATTAGAATTTGTAAGCAACATAAAAGCTCAGCCATAACTGCAATGTTATACTCCACTGGGGTTTAGTTCTCAGTTTATTTCCTACTTTATTTTAACTACTTTTGGAAATAATGTTAATAGGAATCACAAGCGCTATCAGCATAGCAAAACCAAGCCTTTTTATAAAAGATTCAATGCATGATTAAACTCCATGGTTTTAGATGCTATATTTCCTCTGAATAATCTGCATATGTAATATAACTCAAATTGTTACGATTATCTTTTTCTACTGTGTGATTACTCGAATTTACGAATATTTAATTATGAAAGTATTATTTAAATGACTATGCAAAATTCAACGAAAAAAATATTTTAAAAACTATTAAAAGACATAAACTTTGTGATATATCCAATATGTTGTACTTCACTTTTCAAATTAACATACTTTCAAGAAATGAATCGCTTACTCATTGTGGGTAATCTGTGCAATTTACTTCAACAAAAGAACACAATTCTTCCACATTTAAAATTTAAGATTTAAATAATAATATGTATTAATAATATGTAATATGTATTGAATTTATTTAAATTTTAATCAAAATGTAGGCCAACGGTATCAAGAATTCTGCTGAAATGGCGAAAAAATTTTTCAACTTGAATTTTGGATTTTTGTTAGTTAAAGCATTGAATTAATCACATCAAAGACATCGAATTTTCCTTATCACATGTGAAGGTCGTAGTGCAGCTAAGCCTCTTCAACGAGATAATAATTCATTCAACTAAACAAATAAACAATAATTTGATTATTAAAATTTAGCAACACATAGTTCATGCTGGGATTTACCCGTTCAGAAGAGAAACTATCGCTTATCTGCGGTTGACAATGTTTTTTCTCGTATAATTTCGACTACAGTTATCGAACTCACATATCTGGGTTTGCCCAATAATTGTGAAACTGGAATTATGAACACAACTGACGTGTACGTATACATATAATATGTCTTAATTAGAACAGCTGAGTATTTTTTAATAAGCGTATAATAAAAAATATATTTTTTTTATATTTATATGCAAGTATCTTATAATATCTTATATATTGTTATGTAAAAGTTTTATAAAAATTTCATTTTTTATTTAAACAAATTCTTAAAGCACTATTAACTACACTCTTAAATTAATAATATAAATTTTGATATAATTAGTACACTATTATATATCACTTGAAATATATAGGTATTATGTGCATACTAGATAATAATATATGGTATTAAAGGTACTGTAAACAAAAGCATTCATTTAGATTTGTCTTCAAACATCGATACGTAAATCAAATTTTTGCACATCTTCTTGCTCTTGGCTCTCCCTGCGCTCAAAGATCGGTTTTACAGGGCTCTGCTCTGTGACAGTTTTTTCTGTATTACCACCGAGTTGATCTTTTTTGATTGGAATCTGTTCACTATCGTGAATCTGTGGTCTTGAATCTGTGGACTTCTCATCATGATGTAAGTAGCAGGGATGTTGGTGATGGGGATGACGATGGTAATGATAACGTTTCCCAAATGAATGCGGTGGATAAGGTTTGTGATGGTATTGGTGTGAATGATAATTTTTCATTGTTTGTTGTTCTGGTTTTTCCTCATTTTGTTTTTGTTTATCATCTTGTTCAGCTTTATTATCTGCTTGTTCTTGTTGAATTTTTGGCTGTTCTTGATTTTTTTGTTCTTCTTCTTGGTTTTTTTGTTCTTCTTCTTGATTTTGTTGCTCTTCTTCTTGCTTTGGTTGATATTCATCACTATGTTGTTGTTTTTCTTCATTTGCTTGTTTGTCTTGATGTTCTTTATGTTGCGAATCGGAAGGATAATAATGTTTATGGTAGTCGTGTTGATAATTCGGATTTTGATTGTGTTCTTTATGTTCATGTGGCTTTAGTTCCTCTTCTTGGTTTTGCTCTTGTTTTTCAGTTTGTTGTTCCTGTTTTTCTTGTTCCTGATTTTGAGTTTCTTGTTCATTTTTTTGTTGTTCTTCAGCTGGTGGTTGTTCCTCAGTTGAAGCTTGCATCGTTGTTTGTTCCCCCTCTTCAGTTGTTTGTTGTTGTTCAGCTTGTGCATCTACTTGTTGTTTTACTTCATTTTCTTCTTTTTGTTGGATTGGTTGTTCTTCTTCACTTTTATTATCTAACTCTTTTACTTCCTTTCCATGATAGTCATCTCGATGATTATGATGAAAATTGTGACCAAAGTCATCACCATCCTCATAATCATCATTGTGCCACTGATGATTGTATGGTGTGCGATGGTGATGCCAACCATAGTAATTGTGTGGACTATTTGAACCGTAGTGTCCGTGATGTTCCATATTTCTTCCATATGAACCATAATTATGACCATATAACGGACTTGATAACGATATAGTCACACATTTTATTAATATAACTAATAACAAACTAAATCGGCATTTTAAAACTGAATTCATTTTAATTAATTTCAAATTAATTATAAATCTATATAAATTAATTTTATTGCACTAAATTATTAACTGTATTTCTATTTGAAAGTTTGTATCTCTCCGTTCTGGGTTGTGTGAAGCGCTCACTGTTTATGTTGATTTAAGCTTGATTCGTTTCGATTTTATATCAATCAAATTCACTCGACGGTTTTTGTTGGAATTTTTAATTAAATTAACGATCAATTCTCTTACTACTTCTGTGCTCACTAGAAGCGTGATAACGACGAATTAATTACCTATAATGATTCATTTACACTGATTTAAATAAAAAAGATTTATTCTTAGTTGTATGAAGATATTTCTCATTCTAGTCCTCTTCATACAAAATCCAAATCATCGCGTGCTCTCGCATTGACAGATAATTTATTTTTTGAAGCGCTTCACAATGAGAACAACGTTACTGATAATATGTCTGACAGTGTAGTAGATAAGGGGAACAATGGTAAAAACTAAATATACCATTTGTTAATGATAATATTAGATATTGGAACTAAAAAAGTTACAGTTGTACTATCATATATAGTAGGCGATATAAATAATATGATATTACATATTTACTTTGCTTTAGCGATTTTATTTTTAACTATTATCGCTCAAATACAAAAATATGCATACGCTTTAAACTTAATGAAGAATTACGAATATATATAGAACATAACAGATTCTCTACAGGAAACCATATTAGTAAATATTTTGTGCCATAATTAATCCTGACCAATAACAAAAGATAAACGGTCCTTCGAATGAAGGTCAATGTTTTTCTTGTTGAAGAGGTCTTTATGTCGATATAAGTAAGATATTCCGGCTCTAAACTCCCTTTACTAAAAGCCTTATCGCAAAAAAAAGCATTTTATCTTCTCAAATAGCTCGTTTTGTTGTGATTATAGCGCAGGTAAAAATACTCTGATAGGTGACCTGAAGTAACTTCGAGTTTGTTGATAAAATCAACTAAAACTCAAAAGACATAAATAATCGTATTTAATTGTTGTGAAACTAGATTAACTAAATTTACGTCTCATGAAGTTTCAAATTATTACATACATGCTTACCATCAATATTGGAACTCAAATTTAGTATAAATAGAGTTCCCATCCATTCCACTTATATACCTGAACAAATACTATGTATATATTTAAACTAGAAATAAATATTCAGTTGTGACCTAATATAATTTTTAGTTAGTATATTGCATATATCTTTTTTAAATATTATTTTTTTAATATATTTTATAAATGCCCCTTTGGAATGAAAACCGGACGCTCCTATAACATAAATTTCAACTCTACTTTTAACTTAAAATTACTTTTTATTTATTTGTTTTCGCATTAAAGTTGCCAATATGACTCAGTTCCATTTTACAGTGGTAAATGGTTCCTTAAGGTTTCTCCCAGTTTAGGCTTACGATGACTTATGCACAGATTTTCCATTTTTTGCTCAAAGATATGAATTTGAATTGATAAAGTGCGTTTCAAGTTGATCTGCAACTTGAGAGTGGAATAAATTATTTCCCAGAAAAGACGATTCTAAAAATGTAATTAATTCATAAAAATATTTAATTATATTTATTATTAGTGACCACAGAGGTTAATTAATTTAAAATTTAATAATATAAATGAGAATTAAAATATTATACAGTAATTTAGTATTCCATAAACAATTTCCCAATTAGTGTTATTTTTACATATTTTATATGTAGATATTATGGTATATATAATATAAGATCTCTTTGTATATTGTATACATATTTGCTATATATTATATAGCAAAGCAATCATATATATTTAAGAAATCATTTTAGTTACCCCATAAGTGTGCCTATTTTGTAGTCTATACCCATGAGTTTTATACGTTACTGTAATACTTCCAGAAATTCACAGATCTATAATCAGCATATATACTGTTGTTTCATTATATTATTGTATTATTCTAGAGAAATTTAAAACCATTTTTAATGAAGCTTAAGTAATTTTGCAAGGAAAGTATTTCAACATTCTAAAAAGATAAGAGAGTCACGTCCTCCAACAGCATCTGCACTACTAGTATCAAATGCGACCTTATATCATATATCATGTTAAAATCCGTTCTACGAGTCTTTTTGGCAATACATATCCAAAGTCTTGGTTTAACTTTTTTAATAGTTCAGTTGCTAATACTTAACTGCAGTTTATTATTTTTAAATGGACATATGCTTATCAGTAAAATAGTAAATAAACGAGGTACTGGTTATCAGAGAGCGGAACGCTGCGACCACGATTGAACTTTTGTGTTTAAATAAATGCTTATCACTAGAGAATATACTATTATTTTTTAATATAAACTGATCTCAACTCTATAACAAATCATTATCGCTAATAATGACTAGTATAGTATGTATCATATACTAGTATGATACATATACTACAGACAAAAGAGGTCATCCCATTTTAAAATAGTAAACCAATCAGAAGCATTTTTGGAGGAAGAAAGAAAAAGTATTGCGATTATTGCTTATATTTACTTTACTTGAGAGTTTTTTTTTATTTTAAAAATTTTATTAAATTTGAATTTATATATAAAGTCTCCATAATCTTCTATAACATATGTGAACTTATTTATGATTTTTTTTTTGCAAAAGCTTGATTTAGTAGTCATTTTTATTTAAACACAATTCTTATTTATATATATTGTTCACATTACTTTTTCATTTAATGTATATTAGGACGAATAAAATATATCTCAAAATTTATTAATTATTTTACATATGATGCAAGTATATAACATTAATTTTAAGCCAATTTTCGACAGCGTTGACCAATAACAACGAAACCTTCTTGACATTTGGGTGCTTGATCCAACACACCGAGACGACTACCTACATCTGGCTCTACTGTAGTTGTTTCTGTTGTAGATTTCAATCCAGTACCAGTGACATTAGTCTTTTGATTCTTCTGTTTCGCGCCATTTGTAAAAGATATTCGCTCCGGCACTACTAACTCTGGTTTTGGTACTCTGGGAGTGATAAAATCTTTTGGTGCATCGTTTGCATTTGTGGGCTCTGTGGGAAATACAAAGCTTTCTTGTTTTATAGATTTCGGCGTACTTTTTTCTAAACTCTGTGGAAAACCGCGGCTTTTGTTAATTGAATATGTAAGAAAGAAAAGGGCGAGCAACGAAATTTTTAACACTATTTTTAAAGACATTTTCTTATCTTGAATTTTCTGTTTAGAAATATAGTAATAACGAAGAAGAACAGTGTGCTCGTGTGAAGAGATGAAACAAAACTGATAAGGTGTCTCCTCATATAGTATAGAGTTTTTGTGAAAATATTCTCATTATTTACCAAAAAAAGATTTTTATTTGATTATTCCATACAAAGAGAGAAATAAACATTAGAAAGTAATGTTTGCTTGAATTTTATTTTTATTCTTTTCTGTTCCTTAATTAAAGAAGGAGCAATATTTTATAAGGGGGATGTTTGAAAAGTTTTGCACATAAGATGGAAAGACTTTAAAGATTTTGAAATTTTCGTTGTTTAATTTTTTAAAATAAACTCAATACATCTTTTTTAGAAATGCTCCAATATATTCAACTGATTCGTAATTGTTTATGGCAGATATGAGTCCATCATTTAATGAGAATTTTTATATTTCAAAATAAAATTTCAATTTTAAAATCAAGTGACACTTCAAATCTGACACTTTGGACCAGATCTATTTATCTTCTTTCTATGAATATTTATCAATTTGAAATGCAATTTATGAATTTTCACAAAGCCGACTTTCTAAGAGTGACCTGATCAATTTTTTGTGAAACATAACTTTTAAACAAACATTTTTATATAATTATACCATTTATTTGTTAAGTTATATTACAAAATATTCTTCAACTCTTTACAGTTCAATCTTCTTTAATAATACGCAATTCAGCAATTTCCAGTTTCCAATCCAAAAGTTCAACCTTCTTGGCTGACAGTACAGTTTCTTCACATTATTTAGAACTCGTTTGCCTCTTTAAACGGTCCGTTTGATAATTCTGTGGGGTCCGGATTATAGTCGTGGAACTACGACTACTTTTCGTGAATCCGACTACATCAACAGTTATGCAATACACTACTCTGTTTTCCTGAAGCGTTTCAATAGTTCATTAGAATTACTTAATCGCGTTTTCGTTTTCAGTTTAATGCCAGCAAAAGTGACACCTAATTTGCTGTCTCATGTCTAAATTTTTATGCAATATGCTTTAAATATGCAATATATTAAATTTAATTTCTGTTATTTTTTGAGGCTTTTAATTGTGTCAATAGTTTTTGAGAAATGATATGAACATGTTCAAAAATAACTACTCATAACTGACTAACCTAACCTATGTGGAACTGACTACGCACAGGTTAGGTTAGATTTTACCGCTGATCCAAAGGAATCCACTTAGGTCTATTATATTACTATATAAGGAAAAACCCTAAAGGTTTTAAACCACATTAAACCTATGACAAAGCTTAAGGAGGTCCAGGATCCTCAAAAAAGGAAGACCCTAGAGTAGTACGGCAGCGCTTCGTATGTGCTGCGTAAGAACAAGACAGATGAGAGGCAATTTTATTGTCCTCTTTCAACTGCGACATGTATAATTGAAAGGTGGATTCATGCTTCTAGCATGGTTTCCTAATCTGCAATGACCTACCATGAGACTGATATATGTACGGGGCACATCAATGAAAGTATAGGGTTTCCTTGTAATGGAACGCGGCTAATTTACATACAGATGCCTAAACGTTCAGAAGACGTTCAGTCTTCACAACTTTTATTAAAAACTTCAGTACAGAAAGAATTCAGCAACAGTTTGCATGATATCTGCTGACCCCTCGTAAATTTGAA